TACGCCCCAACGGACGTGGGTGAAAGGGCGAAGTTCTCCAGCCGTCTGTTACAACACATCCCAAAGACGGAGAAGTTGATGATAGGCAGAGACTGAAACCTGAGTTTGGATGAGACACTAAGGATAGGCTCCCCACAGACAGGCAGGAGAGATGTTCAGACCCTGCTGGAGCTGAGTGCAGAGTTGGACTTAGTGGACCCCTTCCCGTCCCTCAACCAAGGAGACTCGGGTTATACATGGTACTCTCATCTACACAGAGACAGGCAACAAATTACTAGAAGAAGGGTAGACTTCTTCCTGCTCAGCGAACTCTCGCAGGACCAAGTCACAATGGTTCGAGCCTCTTGCAGTCCGCTGTCGGATCACAAACCGGTGGTTGTTGATCTTAGACTAAATCTGAATGTCTCAAGGGGGAAGGTTTTTTTTCGCCTGAACAGTCAAGTGCTAGAGGAACCCGGCATGGGTGAGTGGGTAGCCAAACACATGGACAGTTGGGGGCGTGCAAAACCACTGTTTGACTCAAAGGCAGAGTGGCTAGACGGCGGGATCGCGATTGTCTCCGGTGTCCTAGATGTTATTTCTAGGATCATAGCAAGAGAGAGGAACAGGAAAAAAGCGGACTGTCGGAGAAGAGTGAAGGAGGCTGAAGGACGCATGGAAGGTCATCCTATCTCACTGATGGTTTGGGCAGCGGAAAGGGAACGACGTCTGAACGAGTGAGACAAGCTCCAAGAGGAGAAGCAGAGGTGGTGGTCTGAAATCTTAAAGGTAAAAGGGATCAAGTCGAATGACAAGATCTCGAAGGAGACATTCCAAAGACTGCTGCCGAGGCGGACACTGACTCAAATGGTAGAATTACGTCACCCGTTCGTCCAGGCTGCACCTGCGGCCCAATCTGCTTCAGGCATGCTGCAGTATGCGAGAATGTACTACGCAAATATTCTCACCTCTAGACGTCCACTGGACAATGCGCTCACGGACCTCTCCGCCACATCGGACATGTGGGAGGACACCACAGCGAAACTTCCAATTACCGCTCGGGTGGACCTCGATAGACCGCTCACTGTGGAAGAAGTTAAACAGACCCTCAAGTGCATGGCGAAGGGAAAGTCCCCGGGGGTTGACGGCCTTACGGTTGAGTTTTACATCGCCAACTGGTCGGTGTTTGGCCCTGCACTAGTGCACCTCTACAATGGGGTCCTGGTGGAAGGGAAGTTAGGGAAGGGCATGACACATGGTGTCATCTCAGTTCTGTTCAAGAAGGGGGACAAATCTGAAGTCCAGAATTGGAGACCAATTTCCCTTCTAAACGTCTCGTACAAAATACTGGCAAAGACCTTGGCGCGCAGACTGTCGAGTTACTTACCAGAATTGGTGAAGAGGGACCAGGGGGCATTTGTACAGGGGAGATCCATCCTTAACAACATTGTATCCGCCATCGAAGCACTGGAGGTAGTTCAGACAGAGAACCTGAACATGGCGGTCCTTCTCCTTGACTTGGAGAAGGCGTATGATTAATTGGGATGGCGATTCGTACTTACCACGTTGAGAAGAATGGAATTTGGGGAACGGTTTTGTGCTTGAATAGTAGCCATGTACACATACTCTACCTTTGCTGTCATGATTAACGGACATTTTTCTGAACCGTTTCCACTGTTGAGATCGTTGCAACAAGGGTGTCCGCTCACACCCCTCATCTCCGTCCTGCAACTGGAGGTGCTTCTCAACAGGATTCGTAGGCATCCGGAGATAAGAGGCTTGCACCTGCACACGGGAGAGGAGTGCAAGGTGAAGGCTTTAGCAGACAACCTGCTGGCCTTAAGAGAAAACACGGCATCATCGCTGGCGCCGTTGAAGATGGTCATGTTGGAGTATTCCGTACTTTCGGAAGCTTCCGTAAACTGGAGTAAGTCGGTGTATCTCCTCCCAACCCAATTTGTACTCCAAGTAGAGTGGGGTATGATAAGGGTGCTCGCGGGTGAAGAAGAGAGATTCCTGGGTGTACTTATTAGTCTAGAAATAGAAGCTTCGTCGCAGGGTCTCCTCCTGCAACAACATATCTCAGCCAAGCTCAGATTATGGGGTACGACATGGCACCTATCCCTTCTGGGTCGGGCGTTGGTTGCAAACGTGGCCTTGCTCTCAATCCTGTGGTTTGTGTCCACAATGAGAGAGATAGCAGCAGGAGTAGTCAAGGCGGTACGGAGACTGGTCGCCCGTTTCATATGGAAGCCACGGGCGAGGATCTCTGAAGGGTTCATCTCCAAGGTAGCGCTGGATACACTCTCCTTCCCTCGTTCCAAGGGCGGTCTTGGTCTAGTGGACCCAGCTCGAAGAAATCAGGCGCAATTATGAAATTGGGTGGTCAAGATAGCCAATATGAGGACTAGGGATCACTGGGTGACAATGGCGGAGCAGATCCTGATGGGCGAATGGGGCCTGAGCAGACCGCAGGACGTCTGGGCATGTTTTTTTATGCCCTCCTTTCGCAAGAAAAAGCTAAAATCCAGGTTCTGGGAACCGATCAGAAAGGCCTGGAACAGGCTCCCACCGGACGTGTAGAAGAAGCCATCCACCAAGGAAGAAGTGCTGGTACAGCTCCTGTTTGAAAACCCATCGATCATGGACCAAGACGGACAGCCCCTCGAAGCGGATGGTTCCACAGGCTCGTTCGGCCAAGCATGGATCAAACGAGGTGTTGTCCGTATCTCAGACCTGTGGTCAATCCTACTGGGAGGATGGAAGCCCCTGGGAGAGATCAAGGAATCCCTCAGAGGTCCGCAGAGAGTGGAAGCCCATTGGAGATCACTGGTTGATGCTATACCCCAGGACTGGTTACTGATCCTAGGTCCTGAAGGGGTGGACCCAGTGGGCAAGTGGTACGTGCCAAATCAGGAAAGGGGTCAGAACACCCTGTGGAAAGTCCTGGACATCTTGCCCAGCGGTTTCAGACGGGTCGAAAGGTGGCGTTGTGAGGGATCAACAGACACGCTGAGCCCGATGGGAGTTGAAACGGTCCAACTGTGAGACAACCCTGCTCAGGCCAGGCTCCTGGCAACAAGAGGAAAGAGGCCAACAACTAGACTGTACACCTGGATAGGTGGGGTACCACTTATCCAGCTCTGTATTGATCCAGCAGCCTGGAGCTGGTCAGCCAAGACGGAGGGAGTAGCAGAATTAAACCTTGAGAACTACTCAATAGCTCAGGGCTACCAGCAACTCAGTCACAAACTGAAGACCCCGACGCAAGTTGCTATCCCTCGGCGGCAGGCGGTGTGGAATGAGGACTTAACCGGGGCAGAGGCGGACTTTGAGAGGCTTTGGGAAACTCTGACAACGCTTCCAAATGGGAAGCAAATCAGTATCCTGTGGATGATCTCCCTGATGGTATCCCCATCAGCGGTCTGGCTGGTAAGCAGGGCATGGAAGTAAACCTTGAGTGTACACGCTGTCGGTGGCCTTTCGAATCGACCAGGCACCTATGGTTGGACTGTCCCGCGTCCAAACACATTTGGAACTGGTGAGCTCACCACTGGAAAGAGGTAGGAGGACAGGGAGTAGAATGGTCAGAGAGGTGGGCGCTGTTGGGATTTCTCCCACCTCACACCGAAGGGCACCGGGGTTGGGGCTACATGGCGCATGTAGTTCGGGGTCTGTTATGTGAAACCATTTGGAAAGACAGAAACAGATCCAGGTTCGAGGGCCGGCCTTTCGCTGATTTGGAGACCAAAAGGCACATCAGCAGGGGCTGAAGCAGGCCATATGGGCAGATTGGAGAAGTAAAGCAAGATCAGGGAGAGGGAACAGGGAACAACTGAAGTGGTTTCGCCACACCTGGGCGCAAATCAGTCAGCTGGTAACAATTCACCCAAAGAAGGGCTTGGTCTTTTCAGACTGGTTCCTAGTAACGCCGCCGGTGAGTAATCAGTAGTCAGGTAGGTGTAAGGTGGCACCAGAGCACTCGGTGCGGTAGGGTCACAGTGGGCCTTTTTAGTAGACTGTCTCTAGAGCTAGTAGAACCAGGACACTCGGTTCGGCAGGGTCGTGGTGGGCCATTAGGAGAGTGCCAGTAGAACTGGGACAGTAGTCCCCTGGGCCGAGTTAGTCCCAGTCTAGTGTAGAGGCCAGTTCATACTGGGCAGGCATTCATCAAAGTTGGAACCGATCCACTGCTAGTCCGGTATTGGTGTACTCAGGGCAGTTTTGTAGTAGTAACAGTTATCTGAAACTGCAAGAATTCAAAGTCAGACTCAGGCACGGAAATGTTCGTATGGAAGTTAAACTAGTGCATAGGTTATACTCTGCACTGGCAAGAGTATCCGCAGGTCTCCTACCTGTAAGCTAAGCTGACTGATGCTGTCAGATACATCCGGGTGGTTTGTGAGGTCCCCGGTCTCGATTGGCATTATTAATGAACTGTTGCTTTGTAAAAAAAAATTAGAAAAAGTTCTATTATATCTACTTGAAGGTCCGTGTTGAATAAAATAGCTACCCCTCCTTTCGTACCGTCTGCCGGGGGCCAAAATTGCGGGCCCGAAATGTGACGGATGGCGAGTAGTGCAACTAGGCCCTTACTCGCGACTACGAAGCCCTGCACTCTCAAGAAAGTTGCCAAGTTTGGCGAGTAAGTGCAACCACCGTGCACAGGCGGGGAAACCGAAACCACTCGCCGCAACTTGTGTCGACGGTGCGGCGAGCACTCTGACATATTTTTCATTCGCCAAGTTTGGCGAGTAAGGGCATCGCCACACCGCTCTCGAACTGTGCAAAATGAGAATGAACTTCCCGCGAGGACATGGCCAGATGCACCCGCCACATTTTTGTCTTTTTCACATTTCGAGAGCGGTGTGGCGAGGCCCTAAGTGTAACCAGGCGTCAACTCGCCAAACTTGGCGTATGGAGAGTAGTGCAACCAGGCCGTCACTCACCAACACAGCACCCTAGGATGTCTCTGACGCTGCGAGTGGCGCGTGTACGCCTAACGCTATTGGTGCACGAGACAGCGATATATCGCACTTCTTCTGTCTGTGAGCAGCAGGGGGTGAGGCGACAGGGAGGTAAGGAGGGCAGGAAAGATTGCGTGCGCGTGTGCGTGTGCCTGTGATAGGCAGAGAAAGAGAAGCGGGCCTCCGAGAGTCAGAACTTGAGAGGCTTGAGGCCGAGAGGCGGGAGAGGGGAGAAGATCGCAGTGTCACGGATTCCTCCCTCTCAGCTTGTAGTTCCCCGGACATTATTCGTGTTATCAATTCACGTGTCATGTGGGTATTGAAAGTTTAATTCATTCTGCAGGCATCGATCAGAGAATAACATGTGGATCAGGAGAGCCAACGGAGAAAGCCGATCGAGGAGACCGGAGGCTGCTAGTCCTAGTGATGTTGCTGGCATCTGTTTGAGGCGGACTGCCGCTGCCGCTGCTGGATTGTGAGCGGGGACGCCTTTTGCGCTGCCCTCCTGTCTGCTGTCTATCTGAGCCTTTTCCACTTTCCCATGCACGAACATTACTTCGCTTGCGCAATTTCCACTGGCGATCTGTGTGAAGAGGAAGAGGGAGAAAGAGCGAGGAAATCCTCTGTCTTGTTCGTGTTTCTTCGTGGTTCCGTCTCGTTTGTGTCGACTGTCTAGCGAAGTCTCTACACGTTTCGGCTATGGCGGCCGGTACGGCATCTGTGCTGTCCTGTTTGCGTCTCTGGGAATATGCGGACAACTACATTTTCGAACCCTTCGAGGAGAATAGCCCGTCTTTGCCCGTCCTCAAGGTCGATCGTGACGGCGGAGATCTGAGACTCGATGGTATGTTTTCCAGACCGGCACTGCCTCCCATGTGTTTATGCCTTTGTGTGATATTGCCCGTAATCGAGGAACTGTACGTCTGGTTTCACAGCCTGACCTCTCTCTCTCTCTCTCGTCCGTGTCATTTGCCCTCTTGGCCTAAGGACCCGCTGGAACCTGTTGTATTGCGCTGCCCTGAAGGCGGCATCTATCCCCAAATCCGAACGCGGCCTGGATATGACATTTCCTTTCCTTTGTTGTCGATCTTCTTCGTTCTTTCTCGTAATTATCTGCTCAACTATGGCTGTGTGCTCTGCTATTTCCTCTCTAGCGTGCTCGTGCAATTCGAAATGCTATCGACGGCGGGCACAGCCCCTACTGTGGTAGTAGTGCGTGCCCTCGAGGAGACGAAGTTAAGCGAGGGCTGCATTTGCCGGAAACGAGACTCTGAGGGCATACTCTCACTGGGACTTTTGCCACTCAGTTCTGGACGTAATTGCGGTCAGATACACCCATGTCGGGCCGTAATTGGAGTTAAATACATCGAGAAAAGCCCTAGCGTGACGCCCTAAGGGGACGCGCGGTTAGCCACGTCCAACTGTGTTTCTCCATGATCAAATTATTGTGGTTGATTCTTCGAAGTGTCGATGTTGTTAATCCGGTTTTATCTCTCTTGTGAGAACGCGATTAGAAGCAAAAATGAGAGTTTTCCGCCCGTGTCCTCGTGTTTCAATGCGATGACTTGCATTAAGGCCTGGTTGCAATCTGAACTAAATTTTGATTCTGATGCAAAATTTTGGCGGATGGCGAGTAGTGCAGCTAAGCCGTTAGGCAACGATGGCGTGTCCTCTGAACGGATCCATTTCTCCAGATTCCAAAGAGCGAACAGCGCAGAACGGTTTCGATAAGACAAATGATATGTGCAAAAATCAATCATGTTCGTGTTTCATCAAGGGAGCGGAGGAGAGGAATGCTTTCGATCAGACAAATGATATGTGCAAAAATCAATCATGTTCGTGTTTCATCAAGAGAGCAGAGGAGAGGAATGCTCGTGAAAAATCGGTCTGCGGCTGTGATTCAGAGACATTGTTCCGCCTTTTCGTTGTCCAGTGCAACGACTTGTCCTTCGGGTGTGCGCATAGTGAAGAAAGCTATGCGTACGACGTATGGGTAGATGTGGTCTCTGTGGAGTTACCCACTTGTCGCTTTGCCGGCCCTCATTCAGGGGCTCAATCAACCGATTATTTCTCTGTGGGCTATGGTAAGTCGTGCACCGACTTGTCCTACCGGTGTGCGCGTAGTGAAGAAAGGAATCTCTCTCTCTCTCTCTATACGTCATCGTATATATAGGTAACACACTTGTCGCTTTGCGCGCTCTCATCAGGGGCTCAACAGCACGTCTCTCGGCAGATGCTATGTAAGCGATTAACCGATTATTTCTCTCCGGGCCTTGCTAAGTCTTGCACCGACTTGTCCTACGGGTATGCGCGTAGTGAAGAAATCTCTCTCTCTCTCTCTCTCTCTCTCTCTCTCTCTCTCTCTCTCTCTCTCTCTCTCGGTATTTACTTGTCTTAATTCCCTTTGGGCGGGGTCCTGCCCTGATTGAAGCCCTCAACAGCAGAACGTCTCTCGGTATTTTTTCTCTCTTGGCTCTGCAGACTCCTACACCTAGATCGTTCTCATTTGTAATGTCTTGACATTTTTTTCTATTTTCTCTTTCTTGCGGTCTTTTTCACCTCTAAGGCCTGCCTATGTTGCTGTGTTTTTGCGTCTAGATTTTCCGCCATTTTCCTCCTCTCCGTTTCGCGAACCTCGTCAGTTTCCCCTAACTTCCTTCGCTCTCGCTTACAGTTGCCTGCTTGCCATCCGAACCTCGTAGCTGGCGGTTGGGCTTGGATATCGCATTGATGGTCTATCGCAAACCTGGTTCAGTTGAGGTTAATAACTCTTTTCTCGTTAGAGGCGACAGGAGTGCTCTTGGGAAAGGAGTGACATGCTGAGAGATGGGTTTGGTTGCCCTTTGGAAAGAGGATTGTAAGAGGATGTTGAGCATCTTGCGAATCGAGGGAGCATTGGATTTGATGCGCAGACCTGGGGGAGGGCGGGCGGGGGGGGAAGAGGCCGCGAGAGGGGAGGGCAGGAGTTCTCATGAACGAGTTGCAGGGAGAGCAATGATTGTATAGAGCATTATTCCTGTTGTCTTGTCGAGCGTCTGGGAGGCAAGGAGTTCTCATGAACGAGTTGCAGGGAGAGAAATGATTGTATAGAGCATTATTCCTGTTGTCTTGTCGAGCTTCTGGGAGGCAAGATTGTCTCATCGGTCCCGTGCTTGCTGACTTTGGAAAGCTTACTGTTCATGCTTGTGGAGATCCGGCACTTTGGGTGACGTATTCAGGTTACTGCCTACCTCAAATATTCCTGTTTGTAGGCTGATTCCTGGTGAAAGGCTTGTTAACGAACTAGGTGGGAATGGCTATACAGATGAATGTAGACGCAGCATGCATGAAAATGTCCGAACACATGAATTTAAACGCATGGATGAAATCGTGAAAAGGCAGTGAATGAATAATGTAGAAGTTTGTACTCGTTCGAACGGTCGTCTCTGGGCTTTGCTACTATCATGATCGTCAATCGGAAAATAAGATTTGAAATTGCGGCCGTGCTCCCCAGGCGCATCGTTTAGTGCGAAATTGGATGAGATGCATTGTTCTTCCCTGTGTGTGCAATGTCGAGGGAATATTACATAAAAGAAAGGTGCATTTTTGTTTTCTTCCGTGTAGAGTGCACGAGATTAGGATGGTCCTGTGCAGAAATTCATGGCGCAAATGGCGCGCATTTTCTTCCGTATATCTTTGTTTTTGAGTGAAGTAGCCTCCCCTGTTCCTGCAGTTTCCTCTAGTTATCACGATCCTGTGCAGTACTGATGCCGCAAGTGCCGCGTATGGTTCCCCTCGTCGTTGGAAGGCCTTTTTTACGCGGTCTCGGTAATAGCAGTGAGTATAATGGAGACATGCAGTTCTTTCTGGAAACTCACTTGGAAATGCAAGTGTCTTGTCTATGTGTAGGGGAGTGAGCCTGTTTGTGTGTGTGTGAGAGAGAGGAAGGGAGAGAGAGTGAGGGAGTAGATATATTAGATAGATAGATAGATAGATAGATAGATAGATAGATAGATAGATAGATAGATAGATACAAACAAAGCAAATGACACATCCCACAGATAATCCAATTGCCACAAAGCAAATAACACATCCCACAGATCAGCATATGTTTTCTTTTTTCTTTTTTTCTTATTTTCTTAGTTTCTTATTTTCTTACTTTTTTATTTTCTTATTTTATTTTCTTGTTTTCTTATTTTCTCTTTTTTTTTTTTTTCTTGAACTCCGTACCGTCTGTACTGAAGGGTGTCCAACATTTTCTCTTTGTACACATCCGTATCGCCCAGAACTGCATGATGTCGCACTGTGATGAACATCCTGCTGTTTTTTTGACATGTGGATAACATATACGTTGTCCCTTTTGTGCACAAGGACGCTATCAGAACTGCATAATGTCGCACTGTGATGAACGTCCTGCTGTTCTTTTGACACGTGGATAACATATACGTTGTCCCTTTTGTGCCCAAGGACGCTATCAGAACTGCATGATGTCGCACTGTGATGAACGTCCTGCTGTTCTTTTAACATGTGGATAACATGTCCTCTGTCAGGACTGTTTTGACGGGATGGTTCATGCGAGCCGTCCTGCTGAATGCTGTGCTAGCGCAGCTCTCCTTGGGTATCCTTGTGAACATCCACATCATAGTATTTATGTTTTTGCATCTTCTTCGACAATTGGTGAAAATTCGTTCACGAAAGTTCTTGCACAATTTGTGGATGGTGCCGTGTGACCAGCGAAGTGCCAAATCGCAAATTGCTACAGACGGCCAGGGCCTTGTCCGGGCCTTGTCCAATCTGAAAGGGTACAGCAGTGCCACAAACATGCCCAAAACCTCAAATCTGCCGAGGTCGGGACAGATAAAGCCTCTGAAAAGGTACAGGAGTGCGATCGGAACCATGCCCAAAACCTCAAATCTGCCGAGGTGGGGACAGATAAAGCCTTCGACACTTCCTAGGAAGGCAGAAAAAGACAACAAGAAACGGGAAAAGAAGGAAGGAGAGCCGAAGGCAGAAAAAGACAACAAGAAACGGGAAAAGAAGGAAGGAGAGCCGAAGGCAGAAAAAGACAACAAGAAACGGGAAAAGGAAGGAGAGCCCCACCTGTTCATCACCTCTTGCGTACAAGGCCAGCCACGTGGATGCCCCATCCCCGTGTGTCACAAGGACCCACTTATTTTCTTTTTTTAGTACATATTTTATTTTTATTAGTACAAATTGCCGCTGTCCGGACTCGAACCGGAATGGACAAGCCGCAGGTACCTCATACCTGTATGTTTACCAAATTTCATGCGCTCCGATTCAGTGTGACAATGTATAAGAGAGAGAGAGAGGGAGAGAGAGTACTCTCATTCATGAAACTGGTCGTACAGGTTTGCAAGGTGAGGTATAGAAATCTCTCTCTCTCTCTCTCTCTCTCTCTCTCTCTCTCTCTCTCTCTCTCTCCCCGGTCGTGGGCACTCTCTAAGGGCATACTCACACTGCGACCCCAAATCCGCAAAATATGCGGACTTTGGAAGGGTCGATTTGAGGTTTTGGGCATGGGTCCGGTCGCACTGCTGTACCTTTTCAGCCCGGCCAAAAAGACCCGGAAAAAAGGAGCACTTTGCGATTTGGTCACAGGGCACCATCCACAAATTGTGCAACAACTTTTGTGAACGAATTTTCACCAATTGTCAAAGAAAATGCGAAAACATAAATAGGGCATTTGCGCAAATTCCCTTGCCGCGCGGCTACACAAGCCGGTGGGCACAGGAATGGTACATTTAGGACTTTTGGCAAATCTGTGTGACCGGTCCTCTACCTTTTTTGGGGGGAATTTGGGATTATAGGTCCCAGTGTGAGTACGCCCTAAGTTCTTCAAAATGTCTTTGTTCTCGTGCATTATACTTGGTAAGATACCAAGTATTCAATGAAGCAACATCATGCAGATGTGAGATATGGCAGGCAACACAGAAGATAGACAGAGCACACCGACATAGATAGAGCACTCAGGAAGTTGACGAGAACGACAAACGAATTCTCTCGAACACGAGGGCACCGAAAAATTAAAATGAAACACAGCCCAAATAGCTCGAACCGAACGTGAGCATAACAGCTCATAATCCTCAATATCCAAGTCCGAGCTGCTGGCGGTCGACCTTCATCCGGCCGCCAGAGCCGGAATCGTCAGGGGTCTATGCGACGGAGATGCAGTTCCTTTTGGACTACTATCTCTTTGGGCACTCTGTCTTACCACTTCTGCTCACCTGCTGCTCAACCGGGTGGGAAGGAAATATGAATTTGATCTACTGTCGGGAAGGAATATGTTTGTTGTGAGATTTCCCCCGGTGCTGTGGTGGAGTTTTGGTTCGTTCACACGTCATAGCATTCCACAGCTACCCTCCCGCCCTCTCCCCTGTCATGTAAGTTGCAAAACTGTAAATGTATGTTGCAAAACTGTAAAATTAAGTAGTAATCGCTCACTAACAAATAGTTTATTGTCATCTTGTGTGGCATTGATAATGGGGTCATGCATTATCAGCGGATGAGTCGACAGCCATTCCCTCTGCTTCGGATGGAGTCGTAGCGAAGAGGACGCGGACCGTCTATGGCATCCTCGGCATGTTACGTCTCCTAGCAGGTCTCTCTCCCTCATCCTCTATTTTCTCTTTCTTTACACTCTTCAATTCTTCCGTGTCTCTCTCTCTCTCTCGTTCTCTCTCTTCTAGGTTGCTTTTGCTCTCGCTTAACTCCCCCGCTCTTGCTGAGTCTCTCCTCTCATCTTTCCTGTCTTGTGTTGTCCTCCTATTTCTCGTCCTCTACCCTATCCTTGTCTCCCACTGTCTTGGCCGCTCTCCACCCTCGCTACCGCCTTCTCTTCATCGCGATCTCTCCCCCTGTCGGCCCGCCTCTTCCCCCGTCCTCTTTTCCGTGCTTTCTGGCCGTCTGTCCTTTTCTACTTTCCTCGTTTCCCACTATTCCGTTTTCCCTCTCGTTCCCACTCTCAGTACTAACATAGTCTCGTTTCTCCTCGTTCTCTATCCTCTCCCTTTCCCTCTTTGTGGCCCCCGCCTTGTCTCTGCCGTGCCTCCTGTTCCTCACGTCTCTTTCGTCTCTCATCCGCTCCTGTCGTTCTCTCACCTCCTGTCCTTCCATATCTTTGTTTTCCTTTCTTTTTTCTCGTCTTTTTCCTGCCCTTCCCATCCCTCCCCTTCTCTCTCTTTCTCGCCACTCGCCCTTCTGATTCTCGCGTCCGTTCTCTTTCTCTCGCCCTCTTCCTGCTCTTCTTCTCTTCTTCCTCCTCTGTTTTCCCACTCTGACCGCTCTCGTACCATTTTCTCCAGTTCAGCCCGAATGGATCTGGGCACCTTTGGAGCGAGGCCCTATGCTACCATTTCGCTTACCTCGGCTTGCGTTTTGTCCCTTTCACTTCGTTCTCCTTGCCTCAACTCTCCCCCTTTCTGTTAACCCGTCTCTCTCCTCCCTCTGCCTGTTGCGATGCTGGTGTCTCTCTCGGAATGTCCTTCCCGCTGTGCTTTCCCCCCCTTTCTTGAGGAGGACGTCGATCACACCAGAAAGCTGTTGATCATGATTTTAGTGTAAACTCCCTCTCACTTTCCATATATATTTCTCTCTAATCAGTGCAGCGATACGGGAATGTTTGCGAGTCTTGCGGATGAGAAGATCGGGAGTGTAACGCCTGCCTTCCCTGCGCTGAGTGTGCTATCATGTTCGCTATACACGACTCCACAGAAAAAGCATGACTGGGCCAGACTGTTCCGTCACTTTCACCGACTCGTAGGGTGAACCTCGAGACATCAGTGTTCTGTGTGTGTGTGTGCGAGAGAGAGAGTTGTGTGCGTGAGTGTGTGTGTGTGTGTGTGTGTGTGTGTGTGTGTGTGTGAGAGAGAGAGAGAGAGAGAGAGAGAGAGAGAGAGAGAGAGAGAGAGAGAGCTGATTGTGAATTCATCTTAGTTATCGGAGTAGTGTAGAGTGATTGAAGAAAGGCTTGTAGGACAAATCTGTAACAGCAATGGCTCTGTGGTGGTGTTTCCCCGAGTGCACAGGTCCGTATCTGATTGTCTTGACAGGACGGCAGGGTGTTGGAGTCTTCAGGGAAAGTGCTGTGTGGCGGGTGACAGGGATGGACATACTCCCGTGTTTTACCAGCACGAAACACTTGTCTGCATCACAGGTATTGTTGCGAATGCCGTGGTTTTTATTTGTTTCTTTTCAACAACGCTAAACTAGTACTGGCGCATTGGTGATCAGAGGTCCTTTTATTGCTTGGTCATTTTGTAGAGACTATATGCAGTTTTTCCTTTCTCTCTCTCTGTGTTTCTCCCTCTTTGTCGGTGGAGTTGCGGCATTACTTAGCTCCCATGGATCTCTCAGTGCAGTGATTTGGAACCACAGTCCTCTTACATTTTACCATCTCTTGGGATCCCTTGGGATGCGGTGGTTCTGGAGATTTTCTGACTTCTCTAAGTTCTAATGGCGTGGTTTTGCCACTTGCCAACCTCCAACTTTGGTGACTGAGTCGTTGTTCCTGTTCCACATGTGCTAATAGTATTTCCCCCATGGGAAGCAAATGTTGTGGAGGTACACCAGGCTCTCTCCCCAAAACCCAGGCGTTGAGCTGTAGAGGTATGCTGGGCCCTCCTTGTGAAAACCAGGTCCATTTGACGAGATCCAGGGGTTGGGCGCCTGATGACTAGGGAACCAGGCTCTCTCTCCAGAGACCAGGTGTAAATTGTCGAGGTATGCCAGGCCCTCCTGAAAACCAGGTTCATTTGGCTAGATTGACGCGGTTGGGCGCCTGATGTCTAGGCTATTTATGACCGCTGGTGATTGGGGTGGTTAATCCGTATTTTATATTATACTATACATTGGGGAAGCACACAAACGTATGCTGTTTGTTATACTTCCTGCCTGCCATTGAAACTAAGTGGTAAGGTCCAAATCGGTGGATACTGACCATATTGGAGTTGATTACCCATCTATTGATATTGATTGGGGGACAGGTGACTAGACAACTTACAACAATCATTATGGGCTCAGATGGATTCATGGAAACCAGAGCCCTGGGAGATCAGACATTGGGCCTTTACACGGTTCAACATTTGATGTGTCTGGAATGTACTGGGAAATTGTGTGAATGTAATATGGACCATATACTTTCGGAGCGATCCAACATTGGGACCATACCATCTCCATTTGATGTGTTTGGAATGTACTGGGAAATTGTGTGAATGTAATATGGACCATATACTTTCGGAGTGGACCATACCATCTCCAGATACATTTCGAATGTTGAGCAGTGGAGTGAGGGCCGTCAGAGCATAATATAATGGGTGTGGAAACTTTCGGAGTGAT